TTTTAATCAATCGAACCATTGATATGTTGACCCAAAAAACATTGATAAAATATATTATATATATAGCCTTTTCAAATATATATACTGAATACGTTTTTCTTTATCAAAAACTATTTCATTAATATCATCGTGACATTATATATATTGAATACATATTGTATGTCATGTGTTACCAAATTAAAAGAACTAGTTATATTAAGAATCAAAATTATATAATGTAAATGTTTTTTCAGATAAGTTTATACTAGATTTTGACCCTCGCGGCAAGCGTGGGAATAAATGATTTAATATGTTAATTAATCAATTTTAATATTTAAATGCGTATAACAATGTTTTTACCATTAGTCCATGACATATATGTATATTATAAAATTAATAAGAATATATAGAGATTTCTATCATAACATATAATTTTAATTGAAATATTCTGATTTGTTAATTTAAATGGCGTGTTCCTTAAATCTTTCTTGGAACGATACCGAATTTTTTAGTTAGTTTCTCCTCAATTAATATATATATATAGAGAGGATTTTGAGCACCTTTTGAAGATATACAAATTACTGCATATATTCATGACGAATTTTCGGGATCCATCAGACGATTAAGATTAATATAGAACTTAATTAGTATAAGCAGCTAACTTTTATTTTAATCGCCAAACCACTTGTATACAGAAACGATCATACATCTTAAGCTAAGAAAAGAATCTACTTTACTTGCTATCTTTTTAATTAAACAATTTTGAAAATAATAAGTAAATACTTTTTACCTTTCTTAAATACAATTTATAATGTTGGAGGGAGTCATGATCACTACCTTTCAAGAAAACAACAAAAATATATCTTGTGTTATAGATTCGTTTTCGTTTATTGGCTGATCAATTCACATACAAAAAAAGCCATTGCAAAAGTGATTGCTGTTGCTTTACATGTGCCTCTCATGTCCAAATTCCATTTCTTATAATCCTTTATCAGTCTTGTTTCTTCCACTTTTGTCTTCTCTCTTTCTACTTCTTAATCTCAACAAGAACACCAAAC